TTCCAGATATAGCTCCTTCAAAAATAAGCCTGAACCTAAAAAGGCAAATTTAAGACCACACTTTGTGCCAACAAATATAAAAATTCAAGAAATCAAGTCAATAGGTAATGCTTTCTGTAACACACTTACTTCTCCTTTGATGTATGAGTGTTCATATTATATACTTCATTATTTATTAATATGCGTCTTAAAAGTTCTTAGAATTTGGTGTTTCTGTTGAAAGCATTTGCTTGAATGTATATGGATTGTAACTGCAGTGTGAAAGATGTCAGTGAGCTATGAAGAAGAATTTCCTAAGAGAAAGATGGTAAGTATCAGAATGGACAATTTGTCCATTCACAAATTAAAAATATGTTTTATGTTTATTTTTCTAGAAGGAAAATCTCCAGCTCAATCCTAAGAATTTCCTTATTATTGTTTTAAAAAAATCACTGAAGTATGAACATCTTACTTAATAGAAATTTACTCGGTAGAGACTGTCAAGGAATTCACTTTCCTAGAAACTTAAGGCATCTATGAACTAGGAGCCACCTATAATGATTCTCAGAGAATTTAAGTGTTTTGTGTTGTCTTTGTTTTTCTTCCTCTGGCATTATTTTTAAAAAACACGCATTTAATTGTGTCATTCTCATCAACAATCTTGACTAATGCTCCTTGACTCCACATTGCCCCGTGTTGCCTCATTTCTCTGCTGCTCTTCATAATCTAATTCCTCTAAAGATTTGTGTTACGTACACTGTACTTCCTCAAATTTGTTCAAACTTCAACCTACTCCAAACCGGTTTTTGACTCCACCATTCTACTGAAGCTACACTGATTAAGAGTACTGATCACAGACTGAAACGTTGCGTTGTACACCTGAAACTGACACAACATTGTAAACTGACTGTCCTTCAGTAAAAAAGAATGCAAATTTTAAAAGACTACTGATGATCTCCGTGTTGCTAAGTCCAAAGGATGTTTTTCTGTTTTCAATTTCTTCCACCCCTCAATAGTTTATAGTTAGTTGATCACTCCCTCCTTCTTAACACTCTCCTGTTTTTCTGCTATCTTAACCCCTTCCCGCCCTCTCTTCTTAATTTCTCTTCTCTATCCTTAAAATTCTGTATTTGCTCAGAGCTCTATCCTGAGCCTGCCTTTGTTTCTACAGTCTTTCCTAGGGTGATCTTACCCAGTCTTGTAGTTCAAAATAGCATAGAAATGCTGTTAAGTCCTTCATTTGTATCTCAATCCAGACTATCCTCTGAATGGCAGGTTGAGGGAAATATTTCTATTTTCAAAGGAATTAATGAAAAGTTTTATTTGACTATCAAGTATGATTCTGTTTTATTTAGGAATGTTTTTCCTAAGAAAATACAGCTTTACTATATAATAATAAGTAATTGAAAGTTATATGCTGTTAATAGAAATTCATTTTAAAAGCAAATTATTCTAGAATATACTTAGCTCTAAAAATGTAAAAACAGCATCATGTAAGCATATAAAATTATCAAACTACATTTCTAAAAAGTTTGCTACAAGTAGAGAAAATCGTTTATTGAGTTAAATTAGAAGTAGTCTAATAGTATAGAAATATCATTTATGTTTGGATTTGTTTCTTTAGAGCCAGTTGAAGAAAATCTAAAATCAAGACCTATTAGATCATTTCGTTATCTTAAGGATACAAGAGAGGTAAGTTTAATTTGTGTACTTACAATTATTTAAGAGAAATTCCAATTAGCCCTAATAGATTTATACATGCTTCTACAAATCCCAAGTTCAAATGGATTTTAGAATTCAGAAGCATAAAATTTTACAGTAATTTCATCTCTGATATCTTGCAAAACTATGTATAGAAATAATAGAGAAAATAATGTATTATTTGTTGGACAGTCGATACAGTAGAATTTATTGAATGTGATAAGTACTAGCAGTTATCATAAAGTCAGTTAAGACAGGACCTCATAGAAAACTATATATGCATAATTTAAATATTTTATTTTAACATAAAATATGAAAATATACATCCATTTATTAATCTTTTGGTGTGTAGCCAAGACCATTTTTGTTATACTTATTTAACTTACATAAATACAATAACAACTGTCATAACAAGTTTGCACCAACACTGTTGACTCTTGCTACTACCCACTTGAGTAGAGGGTCATGGGCATCCTCTGAAGTGGTCAACCAGGCTTGACCATCGAGCATGCCTTGGCTATCATTCAGTAAGTTTTATCTGGGAGACTAGAGAGAGAAATTAGTACAGAGAATCAGCAAAAGAAAGTCATTTAAGAGAGTCTCTTGGGTGTTAATGTATTATTAACTTTGTTTATTGCTAATATGCAGAATGAAACATGAAGAAATACATACTTTGCACCATATTTAATAACATGTTATAATTTTATTGCATATTTCTACTTTTTATAATTTTTTAAAATATTGACAAAATGCAAATTTACTAGCATCTTATATAAAACATTTAAATTTTTTAAAAACAAGTTAATATATACATATGACTTTATAAATTAAGTAATACAAAAACACAAAATTCTTCCACGCATAACTTCCTATTCTAATTTCCTCTTTCCAGAAGCAACCATGTTTAACCATTTGGGGTTTCAATTCCTCTTAAGATTAACTCTATAATTCTAAAGAATGAGCTTCTGTTGATTTTCTTAATTTATTAACTTTTAGCATTACCTACTGAATAATCCCGTAACAAAGATCGGAATTAGTTTATTGATACTGCTCTACATCTCCCCTCTCTCCCTCTTTCCTTTCTTGGATCTTTGATAGTTAGTTTTCTGCTTCTTCTGTTTTAACTTTCGTACCTTGAAATAATACATCTAAATGCTTTTTTCTTTTCTATCAACTTTAATCACTAACTCCTGATTCCTCTTTACATAAGATGAAGATCTTAGCGGTTTTAGCCTTTCCTTCACATTTTTTTCCCTAGGTCAAGTATATCTTTATTTTTACCTTTTTGAGGTCAATGGTTATATGCAGCTTGCAACTCTGATAAAGCCTTTATGCTTTGTCTGTATGTTAATTCTAAAACTCAAAACGCTATAAACAGTATTTATATTATTATGACGTTTTTGTAAATAATTATTCATTGTAGAACAAAGTAATGTGCTAGGATTATGTTTTTTTTTTCCCAAATGGGTACAATGTAAAAACAATAGGCTCTCTTCTTATTCTCCAACAGCTACTCCAAGATAATGCCATGTATTAGTTTTCCCTTATACTTAGATCTTAACTGTCTTGTATACTTTTTCTGGGGTTCCTACTTGCCTTTTTTTTTCCTTGTGGATAATGACAGTAATAGTAAATATACAACAGTGCCAAGCACTGTTCAAATATATATATATTCAAAGAAATATATAATATATAATCAATTTATTTATACATGAAATATATATATTCATATGCAAAATATATATACATGTGTAATTTACACCCTCAATAACCTGATGAAGTAAGTACCATTATTATTCCTATTTTATAGTTCAGAAAAAAAGTTCCAAAAGTAAGGAACTCGGCTGAAATCAAATTATAAGCAAGAGAGCCAGGAAGAACCCAGCAATCTAATTCATGATCTTTACCTCTATGATATACAACCTCCAAAAAAGAAGCATGTACCTTTTTCATTATATGTGAATAAAATATCATACTTCACTTAGTATGATACTCTCTACGTCCATCCGTGTTGCTGCAAATGGCATTATTTTATTCATTTTTATGGCCAATTAGTATTCCATAGTATATATATATACCACATCTTCTTTATCTGACTCCTGATTTTTCTTGTTGCGTAGATGGAAAATGCTAAGCCCTTGCATGAGCTACATTTGCAGCATAAACAACAACAATGTAGAAGAACTTTGGGTTCTACAATCATTTCTTCTGTATCCAGCATTCAACCTAATGCTTATAAGGAGGAAGAAGACTCTGTTAACAGGTATACACATTGCATATTTATATTGAAATAACTGAAAATTAACTGCATCTAACTTTAAGATATAAGCATTGAGGAATATATGTATGTACATATATGACTGAAACATTATGCTGTACGCTAGAATTGATGCAACATTCTAAACTAACTGTACTTCAATTTTTAAAAAGATATAAGCATTAAGAAAACCTTTAACCAAGGAATATCATTATCTAATCATATTACCACATTATTTCACTACTTAATAACATCTGAAGACTATTACAAAGATGGTGAAGTTTAGATTCCTTAATATGGCATATGGTATCTTTCCAGCTATCTGTTCTGTCTCCTTACTCATAATGGTTCTAATCACAACGAACAGTCTGTTCCAACTAATGTGTGATTTGACCCATTCTGTTCTCTCTGTTTAGAATGTACTTCTCTATCTGATAGATTCCTATTCATCTTTAGCAGTTGGGACACTGCTAGCTGCAATTTAAACAATAAAGATATTTATAATCTCAAATAGCAAGAAGTCCATCAGTAAGGCAGTTCCAGTTAATTCAGGGTTTAATGAGTCCATCAAATATCCAGCTCCTCCACGTTTCCTCAACTGTCTGAGCAAGCAGCTTGTTCTCCTAGCTTGCTAAAAGTACAAGTACAAGATGGTGACTGCTGTTCAAGATAACTGGTAACAACATCCACTGGAAAAGAGAAAAGCTCTTTAGTCTCTTTGTAACAATGAGGAAAATAATCCCCAAAGCCCTCCAGCAGACCTCCCCTGGTGTTTCCTTCGTTAGAATACAGTCATGCACCCATATCTAAACCAGTAAATCATTATCAGCTTAAATCAATTTTTCCAGCTTTTCATATCACAACAACACGCACACATACATATATGGAACAGAAGATTCAGGTTCATAGACACTTAATTATTTGTCTTTCTCTTTATAGTTGAACTTGACTGCAGTGTTTTAGAGTTTTGTACAGTTATTACTAAGGATCCATGTGATACATTCCTATTCTATTCTATTCTACTTTTTAAAATGTTGGGCTGGAGATGCTAAATTGATTTAGTGTCTAAATTGATGGGTTTTACCTCACATTTTGAAAAGCATGTGCTTCAATCATTCAAGATTCATTTCCTTGAGTTAGGAGGGAGTCCAGCCTCCCTTGAAGGACACCGTTGCTTGGAGAAAAATGAATAAGATCAGAGTTCTGTTAGCACAGAAAGGGGGAAAAAAGACTCTTAAGTAGGCAGACCTCTGCTTAGCACATTATCCTTTAAGATTCCACTCAGAAGTCACATCTCTGAAGCCTTCCCTGATAGCAGTGGCAGGCTGTTCTACCCTTTAAGCAAAGCAAGTTTTCTTTTATAAAATTTCTCAAGTCTTTCTACAAAAGAAGCATTACAGTTGTTTTATCAAAATCCCAAGTTAAGACTTCTGGAAAATTTGGCAACATAAATACATGTTTATCCTGGCCAAAATGAATAACAAAAGGAAGAAAAGTAGAGAAGAAAAATTCATAAAATTGAAACCAGGACGTTTTATCTCAGACGCAAAGAAAATCTGCTACATATCTATTACAATATGAAGTAGATTGAAGGACTCCAGAAGTCAATGCACAATTTCTATTCCGAGAAAAAAAGGAAGACTATTGAAGGAGCCAGTAGAAGATACTCTGAAAATATTTCTATTAACCACCACTTCCCCACCACCCTCCATACACACACAAAGAAAAAGGATTTATTATCAATGATGAATCACAGAAATAGGGGAAATCCTCCCTTTTGGGATCCCTTTCCTCATTGAAAGTCACCAGCGTTCCAAGCAGTGTTTTTAAGATTGCTTCAGATGTATTCAGTTAGGGGAGAAACCTCCTAATCTAGAGGGAACAAGATCTTGAAAGGAGGGTTGACAACAGAAGAGACAAGATACAATTTTTTAAGAATCATCTTTGCAAATGTGAACAATAACCACACAGATAACTGTCTAAATAAAAACACACGACCCATCAAACAGCGCAAGAGCCACAGGACCATTCTTTGACTGAATTCTTCCCCAAACTGACTTGCTTACCCCTAGAGAGAGGCAAAAAACTGGAACTTAAGTGACACCTCACACATTTATGGACAGAGTACCCACCGCCACTGCCACGTTAGAGTCATGAAGAGGTTTCACAAAACATAGGAACAAATTTCCCCATGAATTTTCAGGGCCCCACCTCCCTCACCAGTGTACTCAGCCAGCTGGATGCCTGAATCGATAACAGGTAACAACATCTGGATTTATCTGTTAATTTCTAAGGGAAGAATTTAATAATAGTCAGGTAAACAGGGAGAACATCCAAAGAAAATGTACCCCTCCTAGTTTTGGACTAATATTAAGTCCAGATTCAAAGATGAGTAGATGGAAAAAATAAAAACAAAACACGGGACCTATCAAAAATTCTGTTTCAAACAAAGGAAATAATTTAGAAGACAGCTAATGGCCAAACTTTGACAGAATTTGTACCCCATGAAACAGGAGAAAAGATAGACGATAATTATTCATATGCTCAAGAATTAAAGGAAATAGCAATCCTATGAAATTAGATTTGAAAATATAAGATAATTATTGAGGATGAAATGGTGCTATCAGAGCTAACGATATTTTTATGTCTTTTGAGTTCCTAAACATTCCATATTGATCGAATCTAAGATGTCAGCAATTGACACTGTCAAATTATGACAATGCTAATATTCATCTTAGAATTCAGATACTGTAAGAATTTTAAAGTTATTTTTAGATTCTTCTATTTAATTTTATTGCTAAATTTATCTTCTACTTGTTGACTTTGTTAGCTGTCTTTCTTGGCTTTGTATTTTTCATGCATTTTAGAATTTTGGAAGGCTCTCTCTTCATTCACCATGTAGTTCACCTACTCTCCCCTTTCCTGAAGTTTTGCAGTTGCTGACACTCAACTCTCCGGGCCCTCACACCAAGCCAAATTTTAGAGTTGTATATGGGGCTTCCCTGCCAGGGAAATCTTGGGGATATGGTGGATCCAGTCATCAGGCCTGGATGTGGTTTGACTTAATTCCTAGTCACCCAGTTGACAGTGGGAAGGAGTGATTTTAGTCTCGTTTCACAAGCCAGGGAACCTCAGCCCAACCCTTTGTTTCAAACAGTGGCCCTGGCTTTCTCCTACTTGCCTTTCCCATTTTTGTAAATGGCCTCTACTCAACTGATGAGGGCAAAAATGAAAAATCATCCTTGATTTCTCTTTTTCCATAATACTCCATATCTAAGCCACTAGTCAGTACAGTTGGATCTACCTCCAAAATGTAAGTTGAAGCCAGCCATCTCCCACCACCCCTTCTCAGTCCTTTCCAGTGCTATCTTGTTCACTTAAGAAGTTTTTACCGAGTAACTACTACAAATCATGCACTATATCACATACTTTCCATGTTATTTTACATAGTAAAATATTTTACACAGCATATTTTCAAAATGCTAAAATATATATGTGTCTTTTCTAAAAATCTTTTATAATTTCAGCTCAAACTGAAAAAAAAAAAAAACCCTAGGGGATCATTTGACTTGCTTGGTCACTAGAGATTGTTACTAAGAGGTAATTTATGTTAAAATTTTTAACATTTATTTTGTTCAGTGATGTTTCTAAGAAAAAGAGTTCTGTCTTTTATTTTCTAGTAGACCAGAACGAATTTGTTCTGGCTTATTATGACCATTTAGGCCCCTACTATAGTGCAATGACTGTTCTAAGACTACTTAGCTAGTCACAGTCACATTCAGACAAGGTCACACACATATGACACAAGGTGACATTCAGACACGCTGTATCTGCTGCAAGTTCACAGTCAAATGGAGAAGACATCGAAAAACGAATGAAGAGAATACAATTGTGTTTTTGTAGTAGAGAGATTTAATTACATTACAACATGGATGTGAAAAAAGTAGCTTTTTCTTTTTATATAAAATTCTAATATTTCTCATAAGATCCTCAAACTGTGTAATGAAAACAATCCATATTAATCCATTGTGTTTTAAACTTTGGAGCAATACTGCACAGCCTCTTTAGTTTTAACAGTCTTGTTTCTTTCTAAGATGGTATCTGAGTATATGAGTGAGGGGCTCCCTGGACTTTGTGGCATTGAGGAAAAGGTACTTGACCAAGGATCTTGGTCAGTACGCTTGTACTGCTGGTCTCTTTCCTAGATGTTCTGTGGCTGCTGACATCTGTGGTTCATGAACTTAACAGTCTATTCTCTCTGAACTTGGGTACGATCCCATCTCAGCTATCATTAGTGTGGTAGAACTCACCTAGTCTCTGTCATGTCTTCATCTGTTCTTAGACTGCCTGCACCTCATGCAGGCCAGGCCCCTGCTGTGGGTTACTGTGCCCCTGCAATGGTAAGCTTGTTGGCAAGCCTAAACTCAGTGCCCATGTCACATGTGAACGGAGGGAGGCCTGGAATGGAAACTATATGTTCTCTCCGCCTAACCACGTCATTTCAATCTGATAGCAAATCTGGGGTCCCCCTGTGTTGGCAGGAAGCTGCTCTGCAAAGCACTTTTGTCCCAGAATCTCAACAAAGGAGGTGGCAAATATACTCTCTTCCTTGGTGTTCTCCTCAACCTACCTAATCCACCTCCTCCCCACTCAAAAACCAAAGACGCACACATATTACTGTTTTGCTTCCACCCCTGCTTTTGCAGTCCCCCCCACCACACACACACACAAACCAAGCAGAAAAGGATGGTCTTGTCAGGTTGAAAGTATGGCAGAGGGTTTGAAGGAGATGTTAACAATGATTTGGAGGAATGGGAGAGGCAGACAAGAACTGACAAGCTGAAATCAGCCTTATAAACCTTTATGCTGAACTTTGTTCATTTTCAGGATAAAATCTTCACAGATGAATGATTTTAGTGCAAAAGAAAATGAATCCATCATAAGTGATCAATTAAATGAATATTCAGCAAGAAAGAGAAACTCACTCCCTTTGTGCTTTGAGGACGAACTGGAAAGGCCAAATGCCAAGATAATCAGCATTTGTCCGGCAAAGACAGCAACTTCTCACATGGTAATAAAAACATCTTCTGTTCAGTAAAAGTGTGTATTATTACTACTTGTGGGAATATCATATTCCAGTAACCAGAATCTTTGATAACTTCTTCTTCCATCTTGACTTCATGTTCTGAAGTGACAACCGCACAAATTCTTAATATTCTTTTCAGAACCCCCACCCCAAAACTGGAGATTCCTTTGCACCAGCTGAAATTTTTGTATTTTTCTTTATGAAGAAGGATTTATCAAATTTTCTTGATAATAAAAGAAATAAAAATGTGGTTTTTTATATGACTGGATTATGTTTCACTTTTCTATCAATCTATTTTAGCTATTTTCACCTAGAAATACATTTATTAAAGGCTATGTGGTAGCTCAGAGTCTCTAGCAATACTGGAGAGATAGTCTGGCTTGAAAGCTATCCAGTCAGGAGTCACCTTGGTACAGCCCCAGATTGCTCCACTGGGGCCATGCTGTTGTCACAGAAAAAGTTTAGAACTCTGCTTCTGGGTGGGAGACACTGTTTCTAAGACCTTGGCCACCACTACCCTGCAAAGCTAGATATCTCTACCACCATCCTCATTAGAATAGTGTTGTCAGTGCCTACGTTTCATAGGACTTGCTTTTTCTGAACTAAAGACTGTCTTAGGTAGAGAAGAATCATAGAGCCTAGTCACACACCTATATCCTAACCTTAGGGGCTGATAAAGCTAGTTTTTGCCTCTACCTAAGGGTACACAGACTTGCAAGATAGAGAATTCCCTAAGGTGTTGGGCAGACCAAAAAACTGACAAACCTCTACTACTGTAGCTAAATAGGTAACATTGTCATCACCAGTGGATAGCAAAACTAGATCTTTTGTCATTTTTTCAGTAATCATAAACATTAATGTGCCTTTCACACTAAGGACACTAATATACAATTAGATGACTCCAATTTCTTTCATTAATGATATTGCTAAAAGAAAAGTAGCATTGACTTAAAGTTTACAAATTAAATACTGGTAATATTCACATTTGATGAGTTTCTGTGGAGTTGATCTTTTTTCCCATTGATGGAAATGTGGAAAAGAGTTTAGTGAGTAGCTCATATAGATTTTGCTACTACTGTAATAAAAATAATCTATTTTTAAGTCAGTCTGTCACTTTGGCTATTTTATTCCACAGATATATATTGAGCACTTTTTATTGCGCTAAGTATTGGAGTACAATAATGAATATAATTGTTTTAAGGATAATTCTATATTTTCTGAACTTATTAGGATATTAAGATTTTGTAATTTTGGCCTTTAATCAGTCATGTCTCTTTTGATCTTTGACTCAATCCATTTTTTGGTATGCTGCTTATTTCTGAATGTGGAAATCTAAGGTATGCCAGAACAATATTCAGTCCCACCAACCATCCTATTTCTCAGTGACAATACCTCAAACATTTAAGAAATGTATTCATTTCTTTATATCTCATTTTATTTCAAAAAGGATTTTAAGAGGCTAAAGGTTCAGATTTTTACTCCTAACATCTCAATTGAGTATTAAGAGAAGGAAGTCTGCCACATACAAGTACATCTTTTTTTTTTGTATGTTTTTTGTATGTTTAAACACCATTATTTCTCATATTAAAAATTTCTCTGTAATCATTTTTAGAACATTTTACCATTTTATTTTCATGTTTAAAACATTTATAAGCCTCCTGGCTTCAATAGACTGATGACTAAGTACTCTTTTCTTTAATCCACAGAAACAAAGTGACACAAATCCCGTAATTTTCCATGAGACTGGATATGTGCAAATGTTGCTTTTGACAAAAAATAGGCTTCCTCCTCATTCTATGGAAAATGTTAATGGTTACCCATATACAAGATCAAATGTTGTTTTAGAAAGAAATTGTGAAATGCTCAAAAGTGTAGTTAGAGGTCAATCTATTTCTCTTTCCGAGCCCAAAAGAACTATGTCTACAGCACAGAGGAAAGATGTACAAACACTGCCTTTCGAAGTGGGCCACGGAGTTGTAGAGGATAAACTGAGGAAGAGAACTAGTAAGCAGACATCTGAAAACACATCTTGGAGTAAACCGTGTAATTTCTCACGGACTTTTTCCAGCCTAACAAAAAATTTGTGAGTTTCCTTGATAAAACTGTTATTCAAGAAGTGAGTGCTAAAACTGCCACATTTGAAAAAGTATTTTCTACAGTAAAACCAATGAGTAAATTCAATGCCTTACCTGTTAAATACTGCTCAAAGCCTTCAAAAAATGTACTCAAAGTCTATAAAGTAAGTAATGTAACACCATTGGATGATTTGTTAAATTTATCAAGTAAAAATTAAGCACCTCATAAAATATTGTTTATACAGCAATATTTGGGCAAAAAGAAGCAAGTAACAAAGTTCCAAGATCATAGACGAAATTCTTATCTAAATGATAACATTCTAATGGATGACAGAAAAAAAACAAAGCATAGAAACTGGAATTACAAACCAACAATCATATAACACTTTGCGTAAATAAGATGACAAAATTAGGAAATAATGATCACCAAGAGGAACTAGTTCAGGAATTTCTCTGATCTCAGTTATATCCCTCAATCACCAGCATTCCGAAAATAAAGTATGACTCAGGACCAAGAATGGCATAGACTGACTCTGAAAATTTGCTGTTGGAAGCCAAATAATGTCAGTAACCTTGCTCTATAACTGGATCTCGAACAAGACAAATATACCATTAACTTGATGCCTGTGGAATTAATCGTACATCAGCATTTTGGATAATCATTGGAAACACGTATTACATTAGCAACTCATGCAATTAAAAAGACTTTGTAAAATTTCAGATACCTTTTTCTTAGTAGATGTTGGAACTTCTTTACTATATAATGCCTTTACCAAGTATAACTGACTTTTTTCTGCATTGTTAAATAATTTAAAAAATAACTTATCCTTAATAAGCTAAATAATTTTGGTAGCAAATCCTATAAAGGATTGAACATTTTTTATTATATTGTTATTTTATTTACTCATTAACTTTTTTATTAACCCAAACAGTATAAAGGCAGAACCCAAGTGAGAAACTAGTTGCATTTCAAGAGTTCATTCGTAAACCATTTGCTTAAAGCCTTTTTTAAAAAATCTGAACTGTTTGTTAGTACTTGAGATGAAGTAGGTTAATTAAAGCATTTCTGTTCAAGGAAGGTTTTAGAGGTCTTTTGTAAGTTTTCAAGGGTTAGGAGGTAGGCTTGTTCAGGTTTCTCTGTTTCCATTTCACGCTGGAGGTTTTCTTTGTTCTGTGTCATCAGTGCCACTTGTGGGCATCTCTTCGCAAGTAGAGGCGGGTCTCGGCTCTCACATAGAATGACAAGGAGGAAAAATGGAGATGGAGAAGCAGAGTGTGGAGACTCTGTAAGTGAGGGAAGAGCAAGAGGAAAAGGGTTCAAGACAAGGTGGTGGCTCAGGCGTGTAGGAAGTGGTAGGGCAGGAGCCACAAGCTCTCCTGGCTGGCTGCTTTTCTCCTGGTCCCCGACGGGGAGGAGAAGCAGCAGCAGCAGCTCCAAGTCGTGGGGTCGGCTTTCTCTCTTTCCGCCAACAGGGATTGACCTTCTTGTTCTTTTTGTTTGCTTTTATTCATTCTCCCCTACCTCCACCCCAGCCCGTTTTCCCTCCTCCCAGGCTCGTGCAAAACAAAATAGTTTCCCTAACTACCCTGCTGTCTCAGAAGGAAAAACACAGACTCTCTTTAGTTACTAACGATAAAAATGACAAGAAACAGAAAATACGCCTAATCATAGCACAAGTAATGACGATAGTATTTCCCGATAGTCAGTATCAAAGGCCCTGGATGTGGGCAGATAGGAGTGAACTTGGGCAAGTAATGTAAGCTATCTGATCCTCAGTTTACTGTGTTCTCACCTTAAGATGGTGACAACAATATATTATTACAATATTATTGTTGTAATATTATAATATTACAATATTATTACGGTATTATTATTTTCAAGATTTAAAAAAGTGTGGAGTATCTTGAGTATGATAAACAGTCATTAAAAAGTCCCTTTTTATTCCCATCCTTTCTCCTGCTCTTAATGTAAGTATGACTTTGTAAAAGGTGTTCCTAGTCTCTTACTACAGTCTTCTCTAAATTAAATGTTAAACCTAACTACAGTACTCAGACTTTAGCCCAAAGTATTCACAAATTAGAACTGAGGATTTTGTGTGTTTCGTTTGGAAATTTCTGCTGGAGGTTGTGAGCTTTATCCTTTAGAAAGACACTAAATTAATTTCATCTGGCCAAGGCTTGGCCATTGATACAGCTGGACAGCTGGGAGCAATGGATTCTGAGAAGATGGTGACTTGAGCTCACCACCGTTCTCTTCTACTCTCAGCTTTAATCTTTTATCTCCTCAGCCACATAGATGCTGGGATCTTCAAGCAGTGAGGTGCAAAATTAGACGTCGTTTCTGTTCTGATGCTGAGACCTGAGTATGGCCCTTAGCCCAGTTTCCGAGTCACAAGGCATTGATGGAAGTTGTGCTGTGTCCTGGGACCAGCTGGCAGTTGAGATCTGTGGATTACCCCAGGGAAAGGTTGTCTTTGGCCCTGTGTAAGTGTTCCTTGTCTCACTGGTCCCCAGGAGACCAAAAAGGAACCACTAAACCTATGAAGAAACTAGAAAGTCAGAGATCCATGGATTTTCCTTCAGGTGCCTAGCAGGGGGTTGTGATCTGCTTGCTTTTATAGTAGCAGTCCATAATGGGCAGGGCTGGACCTTCTACCACTTACACAGCCACTAGGTACTGCAGTAAACAGACCTGAGCCTCCCTGAGCCAACTAAGAGAGATAGCAACCCATCTAAAGGGGCACAGTAAGTAGACAGTGGCCAGCCAGGCAGGATGGAGCAGGGAAAAGAACAAAATCATGAGACTAGCTAGAGGTTTCACCTAGGGATGGGGAGGAATAAGCAAACACAGTAATTTTGTACGATTAGCAGTGAGAAAAAATTTGAAAAGATAAAGTCATTTCTTTCCTCACGCTGCCGATTCCAATGCATTCAGTAATCAGCTATAAAATAAATAGAACAGATAGAGATGCCAGAGGAGGCAGGGACAATTTGATAAGAAAAATAATAAAAGCACTTAAGTAGATTCAAGTGCAGCACACCACACACACATACACACTCGTTCTATTTTCTGTAAAATGCTGATTATATTTGTTATTACCTTCAAGCATAATCTGAATTGCACACAAGGAACTATTAATTGAATAGAAAATATAATGACTTCCAAAATAAAGGGGAAATGGAATTAATAAGAAAAATAAGAAAGAGGAAAATGAGCAAACAATATAAAATCAGTAAGTATTGATAACAAATGTCTGTCATGCTACAATTGAACTGGTTGCATCTTCCCATTAGAAAAACAGTGACTCTCAGACTGAGTTAAAAAATAACATTTAGCTATACAGCTGGCTCTCTGTATCTACAGGTTCTTCATCCATAAATTCAACCAGCCATGAATAGGAAATAATCCAAAAAATTTCAGAAAGTTTCAAAAAGCAAAATCTTGAATTTGCCTACAACCAGGAACTATTTACATAGCACTTACAATGTATTAGATATTATAAGCAATCTAGAGATGATTTACAGTATATGAGAGGATATGCATAGGTTTTATGCAAATACTACATCATTTTATATAAGGAATTTGAACATCCATGGATTTTGGTATATGTGGGGGATTCTGGAACCAATCCCCTGTGGAAGCAAAAGGACGATTGTAAACTATAAGAAATACAGTTAAAGCAATGAAGAAAGCTTCAAAATAAAGTAGTGGGGAAGGAGATA